AAACATGTCTTTTGGTTTTGGGTATTTTTTGTCACCTGGTGGGCGCCACCACACCCTGGTTTTGGGTATTGTTTGTTCCTTTGTTTGTTTTTAAGAGGTTTTGCTATAAGGTACATGCGCTCACCAGAAAGAGAGATCGAAAGTGAGAAATCACCTTCTAGGGATGACCACACTGCAATCCCTTCTCTATTCTCCTCTGGGGATCTTGGGCACACACACACTGCCTGGTGTGAGTTTAAGCCACTGGGTCTAGGACTCCAACCACAGTTGACTATTTGGGAGTCCAGTGATGTAACCATTATGCCATCTGCTGGTCCCTTGGGTATTGATTTTTAACAGGTAGTTTACAACCTCTAGTGGGCATAAGGATGACTTAAAGGTTACAAAGAACTTAGTGGCTTTACTGAGATAGAGATTTGAAGGATAACTAGGAAATAGGGGTTGAGAGAAGATATAAGTAACAGAAGTTTAGGCTACAAATAGTAGAAGCCTAGTCAACAAGGGCTTCAAATAGTTGACACTTATTTTTCTTACATACAGTACACCTGGAGGTGGCCTACACTGGTTCACAGACAGTAACTCAATGTCTTGTTTCATGGGGTTTCCACCCTGGTCATGGGGCCATAACCTCAAGTAAAATACTCACACTGGGAACAGAAAGAAGGAGCAAGTGGCACCAGCAACATGGCTGCCTCAGCAGAAGAGGTTTTCCTGGAAGCTGCTCTGCAGACTCCCCCTCCATCTCACTTCCTGCTGTCTTACATGGCCACCGCATGCGGCAAAGGAAAAGGACTATCTAGCCCTTCCAGCCCCTAAAGGCAGGCCAAGCAAAGGCAGAGAGAATGGTAGTGACTGGCTGACCAGCACCCTGGCAGGAGCATCACATGGCTCAGGACAGGACTGAGTGCGTTTCTGAGAGAAAGCCGTGTGGCGGGCCTGAGGTGCAGTCACAGGCTTGCACACCTCCAAGTGGGAAGGTAAGATCTGGACATGGGTGGAGGCTGCAGGAATCTTTTATAACAGGAGGAAGGAAACTCCCCCAGAACTGATTGTACGAAGGGGTCTGAGGGTGGTAGTGCTGGCAGGAAGTGTCCGGGCATGCTGTCCAGATTGCAGAGTGCAGTTTCTTGGGCTGACTTCTCAGGGTTACTCTGGCCAATATGGAGTCATGTCATCCATCCGAGGCTTCTGCATGCCTCGCTTCTTCCTCTTTCCTTGCCCTGTGCCTGCCTCTTGAGATTTTAGTTTGCTGCTACCAGGTTCATCTGTTTTCTTTGTTTCATATTAGAACAAGGAGAGAGATTGATATTTTAGGCAAGGTTTGCTGTGTCCCAGCCCCTGCACCAGCCTCTCAATTAGCTGGGATTACAGGCACACACAGCTGCACCTGGTGTGTCCAGGTTAGCCCAGCAACCAAACCCAGGCCTCCCATGTGGCTTCCAGACTCCCAAGCGGTGGCATCACCTGTGTGTCATCACAGCTGGGCCTATTTTCATGTTTTCTACCCATCTCTCCTCTCTGCCTCATACTTCCTCTACATTTCTATCTTTGGAGATCAGGTGGGAAATAAGGAAAAAAGCATGTAACGGGGAAAGAGGAGACTGCGTGTGAAGATTATTATTTAAAACCCAAGTTTCTTAGGGTACAATTAATTTGGTGTTTCAGTCCCCCTTTTTGCCTATTTTTTTTTTTCTTCTTATGCCAGCATGTGCTGTGAGCACACCTCTTACTGGGGGCTGGTCACACTACAATACTTTGTCCTCTGTTTCTCCATCCTGTCAGGACTTGGAGCACACACAAACGTGCCCAGCATGGTTTTTTGTGTTTTTGTTTTGTTTTGTTTTGTTTTTGTTTTTTTTTCTACTGGGCACATGCGCTCACCAGACAGACAGGGAGAGACAGAGAGACAGAAAGCAAGAAATCACCCTCCAAGAGGGATGACCACGCTGCAATCCCTTCTCCTCCGTTCTCCTCTCAGGATCTTGGGCACGCACGCACACGCGCCTGGCGTGAATTTTAAGCCACCAGGTCCAGGACGCAAACCACGGTCGACTACATGGGAGTCCAGCGACATAGCCATTACGCTAACTGCTGATCCCTCCCCCAACATGTTTTTCAAGCTGCCAGAGCTGTGACTCAAACTGCAGGCAGCTACGTGGGCGTGCGGGAACAGCCCCCTCTTCACATGGTGTGGGACTGCTGTGGACAGGCTGGCCCTCTGCCAATAGGAGCTGAATCCGTTCATGTTGGTTACAGCCATGGAGCCCAGGAGCCCCATGCTGCATCAAGGCGGGCACAGAAGGGGGGAGCAGCTCGGCATCAGTGAGCTTCCCTGGCCCCCCTTCGAATGAGGGAAGGGTGTTCATTTGGGGAACATCTGGAAAGAGCATAAATAAGGATTTGGGAGAGACCTTGTTAGAGCATCTCATTCAGCTCAAGCCCTTCACTTGGGTGTCCATTCCAGGTAGAACCGAAGTTTCTGTAATTGAGGACTTTATGTGTGACGTAAGATATGGCATAGCCAGACCTGTGGCAACTGGGGACCAGCATTTGGGGACATGGGTATGCACCCTTCAATTTTTCAGAATGCTTGGGATTATGATTAAGGGAGGCTGCTTCTCTGCCCATTGGCACAATCCAGTTCCTGCCAGCTTTGGATCGACAAGCACGCTCTTTCCC